CACTTTTTCTTCCTCTTTCTTCCTCTCCTTCGCTCCTTTTTTTTCTTTCCTTCTCTCAAAAAAAGAAAAAAAAGAAATCAACTTGTAGACCTCTAGATCCAGGTCAGCAATGGCACTCTCATTGCTTGATTTCCTTCCTTCCCTTCTCTCCCTCCCTCCCTCACCCCCTCCCTCCCTTGCTTCCTCCCTCCCTTCCTGCCTGCCTCCCTTCCTCCCTTCCTAAAATAAATAAATAAATAATAATAATAATAATAATAATAAAAAGAAACTGTTCCAAGAATAGGAAAGATCAGTCATCACCAATGGTCACATGCAACTCAGTGGAAGATGACCCAAAGCCAATCAGCACCACTGGCCATGCACAACACAACTGGGTTCCAGTTGGATGGATTAGCCAAATATTCTAAAAAGAAAATTTTCCTAGACAGGTTTCATCCCTTGTCTCCTTGGAGTTAAAACCTCAATGGCTTTGCTAATTAAGATGAGGTATTAAGATATAATAGGTATAATTTTCCAGTAATGTTTCCCAAGCTGGTTAAAATGTAATGATTTCAGGACAATGTATATAATTTCTCTAAGGAGAAGTTAACATATCATCTGGAGGAAAACACCAAGTTCTGAACAACTGCACCCCACATCTGACTAACAGGGAAGCTGGGAAAGATGATCAGTTCGTGGTTGTGTGCCCAGCTATAACTTGAGCCAAAAGGGCTGTGCTTTCTAAAAAAGAAGAATGCGAGAATGGTTATTGGAGAACTCTGCCATGGGGGAATATTATCTAATGGATGTATGGAAAAAAAGTATAGATTAAACAACATTTAAACAATATGGAATGTTCTCCCCACTTAATAGTCCTTGAAAAAGAAAATTTCAATCAATATCCCTTCCACTGAATTCTAATGTTTGTCCTTGCTGAAAGAGTAAATATTAGTTAACAGTCAACTTATAGTTTCATTTCTAAAACTCATTAAAAAGAAAATTTTTCTTTCTCAACTATTTAAAAACAAATATTAGCTTATTTGTCACTCACTTAATTTCTTTTTTTTTTTTTTTAAGATGGAGTTTCGCTCTTGTTACCCAGGCTGGAGTACAATGGCACGATCTCCGCTCAGGCAACCTCCGCCTCCTGGGTTCAGGCAATTCACCTGCCTCAGCCTCCTGAGTAGCTGGGATTACAGGCACGCACCACCATGCCGAGCTGATTTTTTGTATTTTTAGTAGAGACGGGGTTTCACCATGTTGACCAGGATGGTCTCGATCTCTTGACCTCGTGATCCACCCGCCTCAGCCTCCCAAAGTGCTGGGATTACAGGTATGAGCCACCGCGCCCGGCCCCACTTAATTTCTTAATAGGGAAAAAATATTTAAAAAACAGTGCTACCCATAAAATATGTAAAATAATGTACTCAAGTCAACACCACATAATTATTAGGTCATAGAACACCCTAGTCAAAACAATAGTTAAAATAGAAAAAATAAGCTTTAAAATACTACAGGCATGTTTTTAAAATTAAGCTTAAGTTACAAAGTAAATGTTTTCTTTAATACTTCATTTTATGTATGAGGACTGAAAAGGATATTTTTAAAGTATGCTAAAAGTGCTGCTTCTCTAATAAAAGATGATTTGCTATTGAGCTTCAAGCCTAAACATGTTTAACCTGTCAATAAAAATGGTATTATATAATAAGGTTCACATACTGTTGGGGCTTGGGTGTTTCTCCCTCCAAACCCCATGTTGAAATTGGATCGTCAATGTTGGAGGTGGGACCTAATGGAAAGTATAGGGTCATGGGGGTGGAACCTTCAGGAATGGCCTGGTGCTGCTCTCTCTGGTAGTGAGCGAGTTCTCTCTCACACAAAACTGGATTAGTTCTGAGGAAATGGATTAGTTCCTTCAAGAGTGGTTGTTATAAAGACAGCACCCTTGGGTTTGGTCCCTCTTTACACATGCCCGCCTCCCCTTTGACCATCTCTGCCATGCTTTAAGGCAGCACAAAGTCCTTACCAAAAGCTGAGCAGATGCCAGTGCCACACTTCTTGTACGGACTGCAGAACCATGAGCTAAATATACCTCTTTTCCTGATAAATGACCCAGCCTCAGGTATTCCGTTACAGCAACACAAAACAGACTAAGATGTATATTTACCTTCCACTTATGCAAAATCATTTCTTAAGAATCACATATATAATAAACACTTAAATATTTAATTATGTATTTTAAACTAGTAAAAAGCTAGTAAAAGGGCAATTAAAATAATATTTTAGTAATTACAACTGGAAATTTGAAAATATGCTTTATAATTATTGGCAATAATCACATACTGATATGCTTTTGCTCAGATGAAAATGTATGAAGAATTTTATTTACTTTTAAATATTCTTTTTGAAGTATAAATAAATTTCAACTGTTGGATTAAAACATTTAAAAATCAAAATTAATGATTTACATCAATAACAAATATTTTGGTGCCAATAATTTCTATGTGGTGTTAAATTATTTATATTAGAAACCTATTGCAAGTCAACATTCATATGTTAGTCAAAAGTGTCTATAAAACAAATGTGTACATTTATTTATTAAATTGACCTTAATATGTTAAGTGCACTATTTCTAAAGAAAATGAATTCTGATCTCCTCAATCATCAGTCAGGCAGTTTGTGAAATGACTTTTATTTGCAATCAAACTACTTTCGTTTCTTAGCCCCTCTTATCAACTTCTAAGAGGAAATGTGCAATATGAAGGTAGCATCCTCTCAGCTGGCTTCCATCATTGTCCATTATTGGTTTTCAAATATTTCCTCCTCTGACCCATATGCCCACTTACTTGGGCATTTCTAATCTGCTAGGATTAACCACAACAATTTCCAAGACATTCAAGAAACACATAAAGTAATGGAAAGTGAAATTTATAATGACTACATTGAATCTAATCTACAACTTAAGAAAAATAAAGTACTTCACTTGTTTTTCTACAATATGGTGCAGCAGGCATCATAAAAAGTATTCATACAGCACACTTAAAAAACCTGGATTCAGTAGGGGGGAAGAGAGAAGAAAAAGATGGAAAGGAAAGGAAAAGGGAAGGAAGGGAAAGGAAGGAAAGAGAAGGGAAAAGGAAAGGAAAAGAAAAGAAACCTCTATAACTTCATAGAAGAACTGGGAAGGAATTGAGAACAATCCTCAGAGGCCAAAAAATGGCAAGTGTAATCCAGAGAGGTAATAAACGCTGATGTTGGTATCTGTCATGGGAATATCCACTAATCCCTAGAGGCCCATAGTGTCGCAGCTGGCTATACACAGGCCCATAGCTGACTGTACACTGCCAATTTTCTGTCCCTTGTGCCAAGCTCTTGGCCTAAGTCTCCTGCATTCTCCAGTCCTACTGTCACTTGATAACCAAGCATTGACCCCCGCCATGCAAATGACCCAAAACTTCAGAGTCCAAATCTCAGCTAACTCAATTATTTCAAGGCACCAGAAAGCCAGAAACAGTAGGATTGCTGCTAAAAACAGAGAGAAGGAGGCCAGAGGTTACCTTATCCTAAAACGACGGTAAGCCCCAACCTCGCCCACAGTGACTCAAATAGCCCAGAAGTCTCCTCATGACTTTGAGAAGAGGGCATTCATTCTAATCACCTCTTTTTCTTTTCATAAATATGAGGAGCTATTACTCCGTGCCGCGAACTAGTGAAGTCAGCAGTATCTCCTTTCCTTGAGACTGGATTAATTCCTGAACCACCTGTACCAACCAAGCCTGTGAATGTTCCACTTAACCTTATCAACAAACCTTTTCATTTTAAATCTTAATAAATGTTTAACAATATCAACTTACAGAGGGCCCCTATGGATCCTGTTAAATAGCAGATTTGTGTTTACTGCATTATAAATCGCTAAGTAAAATCATAAGCCTTTATAACTGCTTGCTCACTTAGAAAATAGTACTTTCACCCAAATTAAATGTCTAGAAATAGAAGCAAAATTGAATTCTCCCTATGTCACGTAAATACAGAGAAGGCTCCAAATTACTTTGGTATTTGTGTAGCCAAACTAACTTGAGGGCAGCATACTGGATAGCTCATTAGTATCTCTTATGAAGATGAAATTTGACTGTGACATTTAGGAAAGAGATTACCTACTTCAAAACACTTTGAAATGTTTAATTTGAAGGAATTTAAAGAAAAAATGAAACTATCTTTTCAGTGGGCTGCTTTCATTTAAAAAGTACCACACTAGGAAATTTAACCCAGTCTAATTTTCAAATCCTCTCTTCAATATTCAGGCCCACAAAGATCAGATGTGCCCTACATTGAAAGCTCACTGCAAATGGATTGAAATGGCCCAGTTTACAGAGTCATGGTGTTTTGTGAATGTCTTACACAGAAGATATCCACATCAGAAGGGAAGACGTTCTGAGGGCTTCTCACAGAAAGAAAAGGTCAATAATAGCTATTGCTAACATTAAATTATTTGGACATTATGCTCTCTTCAAACACCCTGTGTTCCAGTGCTGTTGTAGTATTTCTGATACGTCAGAAGTAAAATCTTAACATCAACTCATCATACTTTTATCAAGGAAGGTATACTGCCAGCTCAATGGATTTGAGGAATATGGAGTGATAAGTAGGACTAGACGTAGTAGAACCTACATGAGGACACACAGGGAATCCTGTGCCCTCAAACTTATTTCCTACACTCAGACAGGTGGATAGGTAGACATACAGACAGATACACAGAGAATTAAGCACGTAAGATCAGTTCACTTATTTAACCAGGAAAGATTCAGTGTGTGTCTCAATACTATTAAGCCAGTATTATTCTAAGCACTTGGGATATATAAATGAATGTATCAAAAATTCCTTTCCACCTGTAGCTTACATCTAGCTGAAGGAAGCAGATAATAACTAGTAAGCATAACATATAAGTAAACCACATAGATTGTAGCACAGTGCTCTGTGCTTACGCAGGAAAAAATGTAGAGTAGGGTTAGGTGGATACTCACATTCAGAGGTTGGGTGGGGATAAGAATGGCAATCAGAGTAGAGCCCATCGTGAAGGTGACCATTTAGTGAAGACCTGATTAAAGTTTTAGTCCTTAGTAGAAGATCATTCATCAGATAGCTAAAGAGAAATGAAAGTTTTAAGGTAAGTGAGGATCATAAATATCATGCTGATAAATATATACATGTATATTTATTTTCTCTCTACAGAAACATAGCTTTTGAGACAAGCATTTCCACATAAATGCTCTTTTACAGGGTATACTTTCAATTTGGTGTTTGAAACCTGATTTTTTGTTAACAGATACTTCTCACATCGTGGATTAGCAGAAAATATGAAATTTTAATATTACTTATTAACATTTGCGTCTTATAAAATGTGCTACATAGAAGGCAATGTCCACATTCAACCTCTTCCCTGAACTGCTACTGTGTAGCGGGTACCTTGTTAGATATTGCAGACACAGCAATTATAAACATACAGTCAATGACCTCAAAGAGTTTGCACTGTAGTACTATTAATTACCAATATTAATGTTCCACATTTACTATTTTGTCAGGCACTGATCCAAGGGTTTTACACATATTAACTCACCTAGACTTCATGACAATATTATGAGCTTGGTACTATGATTATCTCCTTAGACAGATGAAAAAACTGAGACCCAGAGTAGTTCTGTGACTTAAGGCAACAGAAATAGTTAGCTGAAGAGCCCAGATTTGAACCCAGGCACTGTGACCCTACAGTTTGCTCCCCTCTAAGAGGCTACAGATAAGTAAACATTCACATTCAATAAGACAGTAGAAAACCGTTTGACAATGCAGCTTAGATCTACCTACTGTGGGGCTCTTGCTGTCAGCATCCTCTTTTGAGCTCATGTATCAGTTTTCAATGGAAGTCTACATATCAGCATTCTATTTAGCACTGGTTCTGCAGCACAGGTGGTAGAAGATGGAAAAAACGGCAAACAACATAAAGAAGGAGCAACAATCCTGGTCCAGATGGAATCAAGAGCTTAAGAGTCTTCTCTGCCATCCCTCCCTCCAGACATGGTTCACGCAGGCTGGGACCAGGTCAACTCCAGGGCCCTCCATTCAACAACAGGCAAATTCCCCTCAGGACTTGCTGTCTGCCCTGGATCATATTTATATTACATAATTCTGTTTTGTTGAATAGTAATACTTTAGCTTTCTTTTCACATTTACATTGTTTTTATTTTCTTCTCTAAAAATGCTTTCATTTAAAATTCTCCTGGGCATTGTAAGTACTTTACGTATTTCATGAACTATCTCATATAGTGTTAAGAAATTTCCCCCAGTAATAATGTTTCAGCATTTTTAATGAGAATTGGTAAAGTGGCTACAAAGTTTCAAAAGCTTTAGAGGAAAAAAAATAATATATTCAAATTTGTGTTCTAAGACTAATATATAGACATATTGGTCTAGTTGCCAAGTAGCAAATTAGTACATCTTTATAATGGCAGAGAAGAGCCTGATTGAAGATTATTAAGCCTTAGATGAGGAATTTACAGAAATAATAAATTAAGACAACCTATTACGTTGGCATTATGCTGATCTTTTCTGTAACCTGCTTTTTTTTTTTTTTTTTTTTTTTTTTTTTTGAGACAGAGTCTTGCTCCATCACCAGGCACCAAGCTGGAGTGCAGTGGCGGGATCTCAGCTCACTGTAACCTCTGCCTCCCAGGTTCAAGCAATTTTCCTGCCTCAGCCTCCCATGTAGCTGGGACTATAGGCACACGCCACCATGCCCAGCTAATTTTTGTATTTTTAGTAAAGATGGGGTTTCACCATACTGGCCAGGATGGTCTTGATCTCTTGATCTCATGATCTGCCTGCCTTGCCCTCCCAAGGTGCTGGGATTACAGGTGTGAGCCATCGTGCCCAGCTACCTGCCCTCCCATTCTTAGTCATAAAATATAACTATTTTATAGGTAAAATAATTTAAACTGTTTGACTTGGTTGCTGCTACATGGAAGAAAATCTCATATAAGGAGAGATTCCAAGGTGTCACACTCATCTTATATGTTTGTGTGCTATTCAACATTTGTCATCAAATCGACATCATACTTTAAAAAGCAGTATTTTCCAAAATAAGCTCCATAGACTACTTAAGGTATATTATTTATATTTTTATGGTGATACACAATGTGTTCAGGAATCAGATTTTTGATCATCTGAACCATTCAGGATATATGAAATTCAACAATGGAAGCTGTGACAAAGCCTATGCACTTTGCTCCTATAGATGAGATATGTCCCCCTAGCAACTTTCTTGGTAGAAGCAGTAAGGGAATGGTAGAAGCCAGTGTCCTAAGGACTTTAAAAAAAAAAAAAAAAAAAAACAGAAGAGAAGACAATAAACTTTAAAAACCTGGCTACATAGAATCACACTGGATAGGTGCCAACAACCTAATATTTCTTAAGGTTCTTACAACATAATAATTAAGATTCATAATAAAATATATCCTAACCAGGGGCTGGGCGCGGTGGCACACACCTGTAATCCCAGCATTTTGGGAAGCCAAAACATAAGGCATATCACAAGGTCAGGAGTTTAAGACCAGCCCGAACCACATGATGAAACCCCATCTCTACTAAAAATACAAAAATTAGCCAGGCATGGTGGTGCATGCCTGTAATCACAGCTACTCAAGAAGCTGAGGCAGAAGAATCACTTGAACCTGGGAGGTGGAGGTTGCACTGAGCCAAGATCACACCAATGAACTCCAGCCTGGGTGACAGAGTGAGACTCCACCTCATAAATAAATAAATAAACAAACAAACCCTAACCATCAAGAAGTGGTTCAATTGTACTCATATTCACTGGGTACAAAGTGAGGTGGGGGATATGATCTCTTTGAATGACTGAAAATGTTTCAACACTAGGAAGTACTAACAATACTAAGTTTCTATGGATTGTTTCCCCCAGGATACCATACAAACACCATGAAGCTTTTTCATTATGTCAGGGCAACTGGTTAAAATGCTAATCAGAAATGCAACAATCTGGGTTCTAGTTTTTGTCACTTACGTTGGGCAGGTTCAGTAACCTTACAAGATTTCTTGCTTGACACCCGAAGAAGAGTTCACTAACACCTGTCCTTCCTATCAAACAAGGCATTTCTGAGAATTAAAAGAGTCTTTCATGAGAACACTGTCAAAATTATAAAGAGCATCCTCTATAGAAGGATTACTGAATCAATCATAATGAATAATTTATCCTTAGTTTCACTAGATCAATCAAATGATACTCTTCATAAATAAAAATGAAACTATCTCAATTCCACCTGAAGACCAAATGGCGCACTTGAGTAACTGACCTAGCCAGTGGGAACACAACACAAAGAAGCTGGCTCCATTATTGTCTGAGTATTTATAGAATCCATTAAAAGTTATCTGTTCAGCCCCATATTTGAAGTTTCACAAATTAAACATTGCCATTTCTTATGACAACCTGGAGTGAATCAATCACCAACCCTCCATGATCTAATGCTAACAGCTATGAGATAATCCACCTGCTTTACCATTTGAATGAAAATAAACAAGTAAAAGGAACCAGTTGCCATTCTCCTTCAACCTCAGTTCCCCTCTTCACATTTCTTCAACTTTACTCTATATCATTTTTGATAACAAAAGATCTCTGTGCCCAAACCGCTAGACTTTCCTGCCAGGAATAACTAGGAAAAGAGTCCTGGAGATTAAGAATGGAAACCAGATGTAAAGCAAATAGCAGGAAGGAGCAGAGGATTCTGTAAGGAAACCATGGGACAGTGAGGGCAGCTCAGGGAAATTATACCAAGACCTCATGTCAGCACTCCGAAGACGTCTGTAAGGAGTGTCCGTTTTCCACTCTCACAACAGAAGGCCATAGACAGTGTAATTTATAAAGAAGACAAGTTTATTTGGCTCATGATTCTGGAGACTGGGAAGTCCAAGACTGAGGGATATCTGATGAGGGCCTTATTGCTGCTTTATCCCATGGTGGCAGGCATAAGACAGATGTGAGCACAAGAGACAGAGAGAGAGAAAGGGGGCTAAACTCATCTTTTTTTATCAGGGACCCTACTCCCAAGCAAATGGCATTAATCCATTCCTGAGGGCAGAGCCCTCAACCTAATCACCTCTTAAAGGTCCCACCTCTTAATGTCATCACAATGGCAATTCAATTTCAACGTAAGTTTTGAAGGGGCCATTCAAACCATAGCAAAAAGGAAGGATAGGAAGACAGGTTTAAAAGGTAACATGTTTGTATCCATTTTCTATTGCTGCCATAACAAATTACCATAGATGTTGGGGCTTAAAAAATGCACACTTCACATTGTACCCCATAAATATATACAATTATTATTTGTCAATTGAAAATAAAACTGCTTTAAAGATAAAAAATCACAAAACACATGCACTTTTATAACCTTACAATTCGGTAGATCGGAAATCTGACACAGATCTTACCAGGCTAACTCAAGGTACTGGAGGTCTGTATTCCTTTCTGTAAGATATAATATTCATTTTCCTGCCTTCCCCAGTTTCCAGGGGCTACCTACATTCACTGTCTCACAGCCCCCTTCTCCATCTTCAAAGCCAGCAATGGCAGGTCAAGTGCATTCTCACTCTGACCACTTCTTCTGCCTCCCTGCTCCACAGTTAAGGACTCTTGTGACTAGACTAGGTCCATTCAGCTAATCCAGGATAACCCCCCATGTAGATTTTAATCATCTGCAAAGCCTCTTTGCCAGGTAGCATAACACATTCACAGGTTCCACAGATTAGGACATGGGTCTCTTTGCAGGAGGGAGCATTATTCTGCCTATTGCAGAGTAGTATAGGTAAGAGATAATTTGGCAAGAGGTTTTCATTGCTTTCTTTTAACTTCACTCCCCTCAGTCAGCTTTCTACATAGCAATCAAAGAGCTTAAAAAAATGATTGTATTATGGTACTCTCCTGCTCAAACTCCTTCATTGGGTTCTTGACCTGCAGAATAAAGCACACACTCCTTATAATAGTCCATGATCTAAGTAATCTATCTTTTTTTCTTAATTGTGATGGAGTTTCACTCTTGTTGCCCAAGCTGGAGTGCAGTGGTGCGATACCGGCTCATT